TATAAGGCTGCGACAGACGAAGATGGTTTAAAGAGTTTCAGTGAAGGTGTCCCTGTAAAGATGTATGATCCTATGTGTTGGTAAGAGACTTACTTCTGTAGATGCAGCGCCAGGAAAGCCAGGGTATCTCTGTTGGGCTGAGGCAGCTGGCTGACCGCTTGGACCACGGCAGCGGTAGCGTCACTAGGCTCACACAATTTCGCTGCGACCATAAAGTCGCTCCACAATGCGTTGGACACGAGCGGCTCGCGTAGGGATCGCAGGAAGTCTTTGATGCAGCCGTAAAGCACATGAAAGCTATGATGAGCTGGACTAGTGAGTTTTACGAACGCGGTAATCAGACTGATCCTGGAGAGTACTTTCTTCTGCTGGAAAAGCTGTGTAGACTAAGGTGTCCCTATAATAATGTGTATCCTAAAGTGACTTACTTCTGTAGATGCAGCACTAGAAATGTTGTCCAGCTGTAAACGTATTTTGTTTGAAGCGACGTATAATTAGACCTGGGTGTTCCTATAAGGCATTTCATCTTAGAGGCAGTTAAGAGACTTACTTCTGTAGATAGATTTAGTAAAGAGACTTACTTCTGAAGATGCAGCGCGAGGAAAGCCAGAGTATCTCTGTTGAGCTGAGGCAGCTGGCTGACCGCTTGGACCATTGCAGCGGTGGCGTCACTAGGCTCGCTTAGTTTGGCCGCGTCCATAAAGTCGCTCCATAGAGCTTTGGATACAAGTGGCTCGCTCGCTGAACTAAACTATTATGAGCTGGACTAGTGAGTTCTACAAACGGGAAGGTTCTTAGACCATTCCTGGAGGCCGACTCCTTTCTTCTGCTGGTAAGACCAAGGTGTCTCTCTAAGAATATGTAACCTAGAGGCTGTTAAGGTACTTACTTCTGTAGATGCAACGCCAGGAAAGCCAGGGTATCTCTGTTGGGCTGAGGCAGCTGGCTGACCGCTTGGACCACGGCAGCGGTGGCGTCACTAGGCTCGCTTAGTTTGGCCGCGTCCATAAAGTCGCTCCACAATGCGTTAGACACGAGTGGCTCGCGTAGGGATCGTAAGAAGTCTTTCATGCAGCCGCAGAGCACGTGGGAACTATCATGAGCTGGACTAGTGAGTTTTATGAACGCGAAGGTAATCAGACTGATCCTGGAGGGTACTTTCTTCTGCTGGAAAAGCTGTGTAGACTAAGGTGTTCCTATAATAATGTGTATCCTAAAGTCTTACTTCTGTAGATGCTGCACTAGAAATATTGTCCAGCTGTAAACGTATTTTGTTTGAACCGACGTATAATTAGACCTGGGTGTTCCAATAAGGCATTTCATCCTAGAGGCAGTTAAGAGACTTACTTCTGCAAATGCAGCGCCAGGAAAGCCAGGGTATCTCTGTTGGGCTGAGGCAGCTGGCTGACTGCTTGGACCACTGCAGCGGTGGCGTCACTACGCTCGGACAACTTCGCTGCGTCCATAAAGTCGCTCCACAATGCATTAGACACGAGCGGCTCGCGTAGGGACCGTAGGAAATCTTTGATGCAGCCGCAAAGCACGTGAAAGCTATGATGAGCTGGACTAGTGAGTTTGACGAACGGGAAGGTTCCCAGGTCAATCCTGGAGGCTAGATGCTTTCTTCTACTGGTAAAGCTGTAGACCAGGGTGTCTCTATAAGAATGTGAATTGTAGGGGCAGTTCAGAAACTTACTTCTGTAAATGCAGCCTCAGAATTTTTCCAGCTGTAAACGCATTTTGTCTGAAGCGACGTATAGACCAGGGTGTTCCTATAAGGCATCCTAGAGTTAGTAAAGACACTTACTTCTGTAGATGCAGCGCCAGGAAAGCTATGATGAGCTGGACTAGTGAGTTTTATGAACAGGAAGGTTTCCAGGTCAATCCTGGAGGCTAGATACTTTCTGGTACAGCTGTAGACCAATGTGTTTCTATAAAAATGTGTATTCTAAAGAGACTTACTTCTGTAGATGCAGCACTAGAAATTTTCACCAGCAGTAAACGTATTTTCTTTGAAGCGACGTATAATTAAACCAGGTTGTCCCTATAAGGCAATGTATCCTAGAGTTAGTTAAAGCACTTACTTCTGCAGATGCAGCGCCAGGAAAGCCAGGGTATCTCTGTTGGGCTGAGGCAGCTGGCTGACTGCTTGGACAACTGCAGCGGTGGCGTCACTAGGCTCGCTTAGTTTGGCTGCGTCCATAAAGTCGCTCCACAATGCGTTAGACACGAGTGGCTCGCGTAGGGATCGTAAGAAGTCTTTGATGCAGCCGCAAAGCACGTGGATGTCTTCGTTGGCCAGTTGGGGGGAACCGCAGCCGCGGAGAAAACGTTCCTGAAGCCATAGTTTTTTGTAAACAACAAAATTTTATTCGACAGATTATATTTTATTATTATTTCTTTTTACATCTATTACAACTGCATAAGATGCCATATAGTTAAGCGTGGTGTATCAGTCGCTACTCGAATTTCATGACAATAACAAACGGTCACTAAATGAAAGAATTTTATAAACAAAGCAACTCTTGCTGGCTTACTTCTTGTTACATTGAAATAACCCTGTTTTATGATTTTGGAAAATCATTGACTATCTGGAGTGCCACTGAGTGGTTTGAGCTGTGTGTTGACAGATCAGTAAGGTATTTATTGCCTTTAATGTATTACAGTGGTAGTTTTTATTAAAAAAATCAGTATTGTTGAGTACTGTTTGGTTTATGACTACATATAACATTTATAAGAGCGTAATTTCATGAATGACGGCCGATGGGGCAGAAAGGTTCTGGAATGGAGGCCGCGTACCGGAAAACGCAGCGTGGGACGTCCACCTACAAGGTGGACCGACGACATCGTAAAGGTAGCAGGGAAGCGCTGGACGCAGGCCGCTACCAATCGATCAACATGGAAAGCATTGGGGGAGGCCTATGTTCAGCAGTGGACGTCCTGTGGCTGAAATGATGATGATGATGATGATGAATTTCAATGAATGCGACAAACCTTGAGTCGTTTAACGTCCTTATCTACGGCGCTGATGCGGTATATGCCTCTTTCTCCCAAGCCTCGCTTCTCCACCTCGTTAATGCAGTGCACCAGCAGCGCTGGCACCATCGGCGGCGCGCTAGGCGCGTAGTCCGCTATGCTGCCCTCCTGGTGTAATAAGATATTGTTTGTTAGTGTGTTTCCACTGTTCATTATTAGGCTAAGTTCAGATTGTCTTGAAATAATTTAGAATCTCTTTACGTGCGTAAGTACGTGGCCTGTTGGAGAGAAACTCAGGAGACGTTTTGGTAAAAGTTTGTATTGTCACACGCAGTTTAGTTGTTGTACAGACAGTGGTTCGAAAAAAAGTGAAATGGAATGGCGTGGAAGCACAGAATAAGTAATAGTACAGGTACAGAAGGATTACTCCGCAAGACGATTTAAATAAATGCGAGTCTTGCTACGACGCGATACAGTGGAATTCAGCTCGCACAGCACTACGTACCTACAATTTTATTNCACCCGAACGCCGCACAATATATCTTTCTCTTTATGTCCATTTTTAAATAATACTTCGATCATAGAATTATAATCATACTACTACAACGCACGCCACGCGCCAAGCGTCCTGACGAGCGCGCGCGTGACACTCGACTGATATAATACCCGCCGGCGGGGCGCTTCGCTGTAGGTAATTATCGGATGTACCGCGCGGAGTGAGCCAGGCCTGGTGGAAGCAGCACGACATGGACGTAATGTGTAGCGCCATCTATGGTTCTTTATATGAATTGGTTCGGTAAAAAGTGAGAAGAGACATAGATGGCGCTTTACAAACATTTTATAGATGGCGTTAAATATGTATGGGTTTGGAACATGGCCCATTGGGGTCATTTAGGCGTACTTGTTGCCTGTGGATAACGGCTGGCACGCTTTGCATTGCATGCCACCTTGAGCCTTATGCCGCGGCCAAAAGGGCCAGTGTACTTGATCACCATTTATGCAGCGAGCGTGAGTAACATAGCAGGCACTGCACTCTACCTTGAGCTTTATGCCGGGGCCATAAGAGTCAGTTTTGCGAACATGGCGCTTGTGGGTGCCGGACGGGTATTGCACGCCACTTTGAACCTCATGCCGATGCCATAAGGGCCATTATACCTGGTGTCCGTTGGCGCGGCGCGCGTGCGGGCCGGGCGGCACGCAGGGCAGCGGCAGAAGTGCGCGGCACTGTGGACTTTATGCCGAAGCCACAAGAACCAGTCATGCGTATATGGTGACGTTAGGTCTCATCAGGCAGCTAGTCTCGTACTGCGCGCTATTGTGGACCTTATGCCGGGGCCGCAAGGGCCTGCGTCCTGACCTGGTGACCAGGACCATTTGCCCGACTCGCGTGAATACCTAGCAAGCACTGCACTCCACTTTGAACCTTATGCCGATGCCACAAGAGTCATTATACCTGGTATCCATTGGCGCGCTGCACTGTGGTCCTTATGCCGAGGCCACAAAGGCTGGTACCTGGTGTCAGTTGGAGCAGCACTAAGGGTGCGCCTGCGCACGGCACGCCACTATGAGCCTTATGCCGGGGCCGCAAGGGCCAGTGTCATTTGAGCGGCTCGCGTGAGTACCTAACAGGCACTGCATTCCACCTTGAACCTTATGCCAATGCCATAAGAGCCATTATACCTGGTGTCCGTTGGCGCGGCGCGCGTGCGGGCCGGGCCGCACGCAGGGCAGCGGCAGAAGCGCGCGGCACTCGAAATGACCTGCACGCCACTGTGGACCTTATGCCGAAGCCACAAGAACCAGTTATGCGTACCTAGTGCCCGGTGACGCGAACGCGTGAGTGTCCAGACGGACACTGCAAACCACTATGAGCCTTATGCCGAAGCCGCAAGGGCCAGTCATGCGTATATGGTGACGTTAGGTCTCATCAGGCAGCTAGTCTCGTACTGCGCGCTATTGTGGACTTATGCCGACACTATAAGAGCCAGTCAGGCGTACCTGGTGTCCGTTGCGCGGTAGGCGTGGTGCCGACGATTGGACACTGCACGCCAACATGGACCTTATGCCGAGGCCGCAAGGGCCAGTCATGCGTATATAGTGACGCTGGGTCTCAGGCGGCACGTCTCGTATTGCACGCCACTGTGGACCTTAAGCCGAAGCCACAAAGGCCAGTGTCTGGTCTCAGTCGCCGCGGTATTAGAGGTGCGCCTGCGTCGGCACGCACTATAACTATGAACCTTAGGCTGGTTTTGTGTCACGCGGACTGTCAGTGCGGATCGCTCCGCACAGCCGATTTGTATGAACTGCTAGGGAGCGGAGCGGTTCCTCCGGACCGCATTACTCTAAAACGCTCCCTAGAAGTTCATACAGATTGGCCGTGCAGAGCGGGTCCGTGTGACACTAAAACCAACCTTATGCCAAGGCCACAAGGGCCATTATACCTGGTGTCCGTTGGCGCGGCGCGCGTGCGGGCCGGGCGGCACGCAGGGCAGCGGTGGCAGCGCGCGGCACTCGGGATGAGCTTGAGCGCGGCACGCCAATGTGGACCTTATGCCGAGTCCACAAGGGCGCGCGTTTGAGTACCTAACAGGCACTGCATTCCACCTTGAGCCATATCCAGTTGCCTTAAGAGCCATTGACGCGACGCGCGTGAGTGTCCAGGCGGGCACTGCATGCCACTATGGACTTTATGTCGAGGGCAGAAGAGAATGTATCTGGTTTCCGTTAGCGCGGCACTCAGGGTGAGCTGCGCACCATTGTGGACCTTATGCCGACTGCAATAAGACCTATTATACCTGGTGCCCGTTAGCGCGGCGCGCGTGCGGCCCGGACGGCACGCAGGGCAGCGGCAGCAGCGCGCGACACTTGGTGTGAGCTGCACGCCACCTTGGACCTTATACCGAAGCCATAAGAACCAGACATCAGGCAGCTAGTCTCGTACTGCGCGCTATTGTGGACCTTATGCCGAAGCCATAAGAGCCAGTCATGCGTATATGGTGACGTTAGGTCTCATCAGGCTGCTTGTCTCGTACTGCGCGCTATTGTGAACCTTATGCCGACGCCATAAAGGTCATTATACCTGGTGTCAGTCACCGCGGCATTGGAGGTGCGCCTGCGCCGGCACGCCATTATGACTATGAACCTTATTGCGAATAAAACAAGGGTCATTATACCTGGTGTCCGTTGGCGCGGCGCGCGTGCGGGCCGGGCGGCACGCAGGGCAGCGGCAGCAGCGCGCGACACTCGGGATGAGCTTGAGCGCCACTGTGGACCTTATGCCGAAGCCACAAGAATCATTTGTGCCCGGTGACGCGACACGCGTGGCTGCTGAAAATCACTGCACGCCACCTTGAGCCTTACACTGGAACTACAAGAGCCAGTTTTGCGCTTGTGGGTGCCGGACGGGTACTGTACGCCACTGTGGACCTTATGCCGAGGCCGCAAGGACCTTATGCAGCGCGCTACACTCGGGGTGAGCTACGCGCCACTGTGGACCTTAAGCCGAAGCCACAGGCCCAGTCGTATGTACCATGTGTCAGTTGGAGCAGCACTAAGGGTGCGCCGCGCACGGCAAGCCACTATGAGCCTTGTGCCGGGGCCGCAAGGGCCAGTCTATCTGATGCCGTTGGCTCGGTACTCGGGGTGAGCTGCACGCTACTGTGAACCTTATGCCGAATGCCATAAGAGCCATTATACCTGGTGTCCGTTGGCGCGGCGCGCGTGCGGGCCGGGCGGCACGCAGGGCAGCGGTAGCAGCGTGCGACACTCGGGGTGAGCTTGAGCGCCACTGTGGACCTTATGCCGAAGCCATAAGAGCCAGTCATGCATATATGGTGACGTTAGGTCTCATCAGGCAGCTAGTCTCGTACTGCGCGCTATTGTGAACCTTATGCCGAAGCCACAAAGGCCAGTACCTGGTGTCATTTGGCGCGGCACTCGGGAAGCGCCTGCGTCGGCACGCCACTAGACTATGAACCTTATGCCGATGCCACAAGGGCCATTATACCTGGTGTCCGTTGGCGCGGCGCGCGTGCGGGCCGGGCGGCACGCAGGGCAGCGGCAGAAGCGCGCGACACTCGGGATGAGCTTGAGCGCGACACGATTCGCACTTCACGCCCACTTTGGCGAACTTTATGCTGCAGGACAATGGAATTTGAACTTTATTATCTTTAGATAAGGTTTACAATTGATTGAGATTTAAAATTTTGGTTAATAATTCTCACATTTCAACATTTATAGCGTGTTTTTATACCAACTGAAGTCCCAACCATGATATATGCTAAAGCCTGGTCCGTGAGCACGTAGAATTTTGTCCAATGACCCCAAGCCACCCATTCTTATCGCTCGCGCGTTCTTATTCCTGTCGCGACTGTGCGACGGGCGCCCGCAGTGAGTGTGCGAGCGCGACAGCAACATAATTACGCGCGAGCGATAAGGATGGGTAGCTTGGGGTCATTGGACGGGATTCTACGTGCTCACGGAGCAGGCTTTAGACGGTGCCGTTGCGGCGCCGCATACCACTATGTGTACAGTGATGCGGCAAAATGTTCGCACCGCATCGTGGGGCTTCTCTCATAGTCTAATTCCGCCCATTTTTAATACCAATATGTAATAATTTTGCATTCTTATCCCTACAAGGCTACGGTTCACTATAGATAATCTAGAACAGTCTTTCCCAAAGTGGGCGATAATGCCCCCTTGTGGGCGTTGCAGGCTTAAAGGGGGGCGGTAAGAGACCCCGGAAAAAAATCGGGGCATTGTGTAGAGGCTTGGTAGGCCATTTGTAATTTCATCTACTTAGGAGGTCTCTTAGACACCGACTGAGCATTTGACTCTTGAAATTTAATGGGGGCGCTCAAAAGAATTTATTCTCAAAGTGGGCAGTAAACAAAAGAAGTTTGGGAACCGCTGATCTAGAACTAGAAATAAAATGCTTCGAATCCCAGAAATTTACGGACAGCTAGAATAGTCCAAAACTTCTAGAATCTTCATAAAATGTATATGAGAGCATGTTTCTAGCGATGATCGACGATTCCAGGTGAATCTTCCACCTTCTTCCTTAACAACACCACACTCCACCAACACCTAAAGACCAGCTAAATCCTGGTCTGTGAGCACGTAGAATCCCGTCCTCGCACACTCACTGCGGGCGCGCGTCGCACAGTCGCGACAGCAATATAATTACGCGCGAGGGATAAGGATGGGTAGCTTGGGGTCATTGGACGGGATTCTACGTGCTCACGGACCAGGCTTTACAAGCACTCACGTCTTCCCGCAAGGGCCGCAGGTCTCCCGCTTGTAGAAGTTCTTGGCGACGAAGTTGTGTTGCCGCGGGCGCGCGCGCGGCGAGCCGCCGTATGCCGCCGATACTACGGACGGTGTGCGTTGCGGCGGCGCGCGAGGCGTGTCCGACACGCTGTCCGAATCTGTTGTCATACACCAAAGAAAGTGAAAAACTTAGTTCTGGATTTGACCAAGAGATGGCGCTGTCACATGTTTTTACATCGCGGTATTACGATATTTTTGGTA